TATTTATACCATCTAAACATAAAACAAGTGCTTGCAGGAGGTCCACTAAAACTTCAAAAGCATCATGCCTGCCTGTCCACTCAGAATGACATATTTCCTTCAATTCTTTACCCCTTTCTTCACTGTTCTGGAAAAGAACTGAAATTACATTGTCAAGTTCTAAAAGCAGTTGTGGTGATCAATGGAAAAAAGAACAAACTTCCTCAATTGTTCCCAATGCAACTGATACCCCCACCAGAGGCACTGATTTTGCCAACCACATGTTTAAGGCACAGGAAGAGCACAATGTGTAGATAGCTTGGGCATATTTTTCTAGAAGTCTAGAAGCAACAACTTTCATTTTAGAAGAAAATCCACTGGATACAATATAAGCCTGGCCACGACAATACTCCATATTTAGTCCCCACTTCTCAGTTATTGTAGTGTGAAATTTCACAGTCAAAATTTCTGCATCAGCTTCATAAGGCAGGAAGCCCACAAACTCCTCTCTCAGGTTATGGGATTCATCAACAAACCTCACCAGGACAGGTAAGGGACGCCCCCCCCACTACGTCCACCACATCATCAGTGATGATGGAAAAGAAGTGTGAGTCTCTCACTTCCCTGAGGGTTTCTTCCCCAGTACAGCTCTCACAGATCTCTAGCATCTGTTTCTGCTGTGTTTTTGAACAGAACAATGTGTTAACGGCTGTGGTCTCAAAGCGCTTTCGCAGAACCTCTTCACCAGAATTTATCCGGCACTCCAACAAAGCCTGGAAGTTATCAGGTGTAAAGAGACCTTCCGGGATTTCGTCGGTCTCATGCCCATCCAGGGGTATGTTTTGTTTTCCCATAAGAATCAAAATTTCAAACAGAGACTGTAAGTATTCTTTGTTTTCCTTCTCTTCAAGGGTTAAAGGTAAAATGTCTTCATCCTGTTCATCCCCCTGAACTTCGGCACTGGGATTCTGAGCATTGCTATTGTTTGTTTCTTTATGCTTCTGTTCCTGTTCAGAATTTTCATCAATTTTTTTCTGTTTCAGTGTCCTGATTTCATCTTCACTCAATTCTTTTATTCGTTTTCTGTGTCTACTATGCGGATTGTTCAAATGACTGGTAAGATCAAATATTGTTGGTATTGCATTGTCTCGAAGAACGGTCCTATAAGGACTAGTTCTACAGATCACAGAGGTCTCGAAGCGTTTGGCACACAATCGATAATGTTTATTTAGCTGATCAGGTGTTTTATCTTCTAAGTCTGCTCTCCTACAATTCTCCACCCACTTCTGGCATCTGGCCGGATCCCGCAGAAACCTGAAGAAGGCCAGGTCGGACTGCGTGCTCTTCCGCGTGCAGTTGGGGTCCGCGCAGAAATTCGGCATCTTCGCCCGCCCGCTGGCCAGCCCAGTCCTCCCCTCCCCGCCTCCTCAGGGCAGCTCGCCCGCCCGCCCATCGGGGGTCTGGGCCCGGAGGGGAGCCAGGCCAGCCGGCAGCTCTGCAGGGCTGGCGCGTTGGGGGAGGGGCCTCAGATTTCTATTTGACATCAGAGAACAGAATCAACTTTGTGAAAGAATACTCTGAAATAGTTATTACAATTTTAATACAATGTCCATTGAGGTATGTATAAGCAGTCACCATTATAGTATTACTAACCACAGACATCTCTTGAGGTCAGCTGCTAAAAGATCAGGAGGTACAACACAAGCTTATTTATTACCAATTTTTGAATTCTTTTATAACTGAGGGAATACCAGACACTGAACTAGTTTACATTATGGAAACTGCCAAGAGATGCATAACTTTTAGCTTTTCCTTTAAGGTTAACCTTCAAGACTTCCCCCAAAGTTATACATCTCTTCTGAGGCACTATTATTAGAAAATAAATGATTCTCAGCAGATACAATTACAGAAATGGAATCAAAATGTCTTTTAGAATCCTTACCATTTTTTATTTGAACACAACTGTGACATCTTCGGGCCGCAGGAAAACCTGCCAAACACATAAACACGGAAATTCCATTATTTACAGAAAGATGATTAATGACATTGATATGACACAGTGAATGATATATTACAAGTAACTCAAAATAATCCTTTTGTTGCATTAAGCAAAACTTGACTAATCCTGCCAATCCTTCCTTATTTTAAAAGCCATTACAAATCATCTCATCACAGCAGTACAATGCTAAGGTACCAGGAAAACAAAATGTAGTGGGGGGCACAGGCCCTACCAGTGACTTTCCCAAGCCCTTTTTATCTACAAAAACCTAGAGAGAGCTTAATTTAACTCTTCTCTCATCTCACCCATATTTCCCCACTTCTGCCACAGAATTCAACAATCCCTATTAAAATTCTCTTTGCTCAGAAGAATTCTCTTTGTTAAAGAATAATAACTGGAATAAAGAATACAAGTAATTTCTAATACAAGTTCAACAGATACTTTATTTGCCGTGTAATTCACCAGTTCAACAGATACTTTATTTGCTATATAATTAAAGAAAAATATTTTTTGCTTCCCCATTTGCTAAAGACAAATGAATCAATACTTTTAATTTACCTATTTTTTCATGGGGTTTTGTTGCAATTTCCTCCCAGGCATTTGTTTCAAGGTTGTATGCATGGATCTTGAAGGAAAAAACAACATACATACAGATAAATAAACTATCATTTTAGTTAGCCTGAAAATGAATTTTTAAAAATAGACTAATTTTAGGAGCAGTTTTAGAAAAACTGAGCAGAAGGCAGAGATTTCCCATATAGAAAACTTGACTTTGGCCGGGGATTTAGCTCAGTGTTTCTGCCACTTGCCTTGCAAACGCAAGGTGCAGAGTTCGATCCCTGGTACCAAAAAAAAAAAAAAGAAAAGAAACTTGACTTTTAACGGGAACTTTGCAAATATATATTCTTGGTGGAAAAACCCTTCTGCTTATCCTTTGCTTTCCTCTGATCTTCTTAATTCTAATGTAAAGCAAACATTAGATGAGAGGTTGAAAATTAACAGCATATATGATAGCAATTTTAAAAATTCATCAAAAAATGAAGAAAAGGTTGCAATGAGAAGTACATGTGATTCTTGGTTTTCTTCTGTGTGCTGCTTTACAGTGAATGTGTATCATTTTTATAACAGGAAAAGCAAGCATTGATAAGGAAATGCTGGAATGCAGTTTTGATAAAACTTGAAAAGACCATTAAGGTTCCAAGGCAGGAGCCTTGCAGGAGAGCCTTGAAGCTCCTAGATTAGGAGCTCTGCAGCCTAATCTAGATTTCCCCTGGGATGTGTAACCATGACATTTTGGAAATGCCACAGGGACAAATGAATAAAAGCCCTTCAGAGCTCAGCTTTCTAAAGTTAGTGACATGCAGTACTAAACATGCCTATTCTTTTTTAGATACACAACACTGACAATGAGATGAATGTGACATTCCAGGAACTGTGGTTCCAATTTTAGTCTGTTGCTCCATTCAAGCTACTACACCTTCCTCACTTTCTTCACCCAGCATCAGGACATAATTTTCATGCAGTATTTTCAGTGTGTGATAAATGCAGCTGTTAACTGGAATCCCTATCAGAGGTGCAGAGTTCAAATTTATATTACAAAGAGCAACTACACAAAACAGTTATTGATGAGGAGCTGCTCAAAAATTAAAATACCTGGGCCAGGGATTTAGCTCAGTGGTTTCACTGCCTGCTGTGCAAGTGCAAGGACCCGAGTTTGATCCCTGGTACCAAAAAAAAAAAATTTAAAATACTTAAAACAACAGATTTATCTTGCTTAGTATGAGATACACCTCTGCCTATCCTCACTCTTCCTTTCTTCTTCTTCTTTTTTTTTTTTTTTTAAATATACCTTGTTTAAGGAATAAGCTGTCCAGGAAGTACCACCTCCCAAGATATAAATCCTCTGCCCATCGTGAGCGATTTCATGTCTGTATCTGAAAATGTTCAATAAAATAATGTTGACAATTAAGTGAAAAATGATCTACCTAAGGCTTAGCTGTAATATTTTATATCATTCTTTATAATAATAAATTATTAGAAATAACCTGTTTAGCAATGGTAAATTACTTAAATGTATTATAGAATATACATAAAATGGATTAGTACACAATCAATAAGAATACAGGCATAGAGGATGGTTAATATAATGAGAACTTCTTTTTATGTCATTAACCAAAAGTTCAGTTTCACACAAAACAGGCTATAATGTCATTAAAAACTTATAGATATACAAATATGCACAGAAAATGACCATAAGGATATAATCTAAATGTTAACCCTGGTTATCTTTCAGAGTTTATATTTTTTAAAAGTTTTCTTCATTTTGCTTATTTGTGTTTTCTAGATTTTTAATACTCTTTTTTTTTTTTTTTTGGTACCAGGGATCAAACTCGGGTCCTTGTGCTTGCAAGGCAGGTGGTGGAACCACTGAGCTAAATCCCTGGCCCTGATTTTTAATAATCTTTTTGCAATACCTTTGTGTAAGGGAGAAATTATTATAGAGTTATAGAAAGTGATATAGCTATAGTTAATCAGAGACCTTAAACTATGAGTTTTCAAATAAAAATACTTATTTGGCAGGAAATTATGCCACATAGAACTGTGACTATAATATGAAACACCTATCAGAACTCCTATCCAGGCAGTCTAGCTAGAAGCTGAAACAATTTATAATATATCCATAAAATGACTTAAAGAATGCAACCATGAGAAAATGCTTTTAAAAATTTAATCTATTTCCTTTTTTCCCTGAAGGCCCCAGTGCTGATAACACAAATTACATCAAAATCATCCTAGTAACAGCCCACGGCCCAGGTCTTCTCATAGCAGTTCTGCAATTATCAGCGCACTAACACACTACAATACAGATATATTGTATAGGCGCTTCCTTAGTACTTACTGCCATTTGTTGAAAGTCACACTAGATTAGACTAAACAGTGAATACAAAATTATTTACTGTCTTTGCTTTTAAACTGGAGAGGAAATAATTTAACGTTTCTTGGTGAATTTAAGACTAAGAAGAGGCAACTACTATTAGGAAAGGAAAATGAAAGATCTAAGTCAGGTATGGTGGTATATATTTGTAATCTCAGCTCTGGGAGGCTGAGGCAGGAGGATTGAAAGCTTGAGCCCAGGCTGCATAACTGAATGATTAAGTGAGAGCATGTCTCAAACTAAACAGTTTTTAAAAAGGTCTTGGGATGTAGCTCAGTGTGAAGGCCTTGGGTTCAAACCCTAGTAGCCAAAAAAAATGACCTGACCTAAGTGAGTCCTTTACAAACAAACAGGACATGGTTGGGGATTTAGCTCAGTGGTTCTGCCACCTGCCTCCCAAGTGCAAGGACCCAAGTTCTATCCCCGGTACCCAAAAAACAAAAAAAAACACAAAAAAAACCCAAACAGGACAAACCAAACAGGCTGTTTTCAGCAGACAATAGTAGTTTCTCAATAAATAGGTCAAATGGACTCAAAACGAAGTATACAACCTCTCTGGCACGAAGTTCAGTAACTGTCCACACACCTATGCAGGCTGTCCTTGGATTCAATCATAAACATTTTACCCCACTGCCCCCAGTGCCAAGGAACAGAGCCACCCCCCAGTGATAAGGAAGTGAACCTTCTGGGCTGCCATACCACTTCCCCCAGTGCCAAGGAGGAGCCTTCCAGGCCACTGTACCACCCCCCCCCAGCGCTGAGGAGCAGAGCTGCCCTCACCACCCAGGAGGTAAGCCATGTGGGTACCAGCAGCACACCCCCACCGCCCGCCAGTGAATTGAGAAGACACGTAAACAACTCTCAAAACCAGACCTCCAAATCATATAAAGCAACCCAAAAGGGAAACGAGATGGAACAATCTGATACTCAACCACCTGGACTCCCTGAACTGGCAACAAAAGAGGATCTGGAAAAAATGAAATCAGAAATAA